GTTGATATTTGGCATTTTTTAAATATCGCATAGGCTGATAAGTTTTCCTGTTTGGCCGATACGTTCGAGGCGGGACTTTTATTTTGACGGCGCTGAGAGCGGCAGCGCCTGAGCACACACGTTCTCCCTCTTGTTCGCTGTTGCTGTTAACAGTTCTGTCTAATACGGACAGAAATCTGTCTAATAAGATCCAGTTGTGAGATCTTGTGAAGTGTGCATTTGTATCTTGCATGATCGTGTGTTCTCTGCGTGACGGTCGGTCCGTGTGAATTGAATACTGACATGAGGAGAGTTCAGCTTCACAGGAGACGCGCGATCGACAAACTTTAAAGTGGTCATATGATAGGATTTCAAGTTTTCCTTTCTCTTTGGAGTGTTACAAAGTATTTGCTATTGACTGTTCAAATGCGGAGTTTGGCGCATCGTGTGTGTGTGTGTGTGTGTGTGTGTGTGTGTGTGAGAGAGAGCGAGAGAGACAGGGTCACAACCGTCTTAACCGTGGCCTGTGTACTGCAAACACATACCAGCTGCATCACTGTGTCTGTCACGCTACTCTGTTTCCCTTTCGGGCTCTGTCTTTACATTTATTTTGAAAGATGAAGCTGGTGATTATGTTAAGGGGCGTTACATTTCCGACGAGTGCTTGCGGTGTTCGGCCAATCACAATGCACTGGGTCAGCTGGCCAATCAGAGCAGACTGCGTACAGGTATTTCATAAATCATCCCTTATTCCTATTAAACATAGAGTCTTAATTATTGTCCAACTTCCCTAAAAAACCCTTTGGCCTATAACCTAACAGAATCTTCAACTGAACAAAGTACACAGATTAGATACATTAATCTTTTTTAAAAAAGTAAAATAACATATATTTATATCACACTATCTGATTTTTAACAAAATACTTGGATAGCATGCTTTTCGTCCTCTTGAAAAATTACACGCATGCGCAGTATCATCAGCTCATCGGTTCTCAAATCGGACGTGTCCGAAAGAAACGGTTCTCGGTTGAGTGTACCGGTGATCCGAAAACCGATGCAACCGGTTCTTGATTCGAGAAGGAGAACCGCTCCAGCAGTGGGCGCGTACGTTTGTTATCCGGCTCGCTGCACACATGCTGCTCTGCTCGTGTTCATCTTCAGTTCTCTCTTCACAGCAGTTCAGTCAGTGTACTGTTTGAGTAAATGAATTACTCCTGGATATTGGTTTATTTCGACTCCGAGGGAGTGTCAGCCATGTTAAAAAAGTGAATAACTTGAGTAATTTGTGGATTAATGCTTACTGGAGACGCGAACCGTTTCAAATGATTCAGTCCGATTTGGTGAACTGGTTCTACCGGTTCACTAAGAAGAACCGGTTAAATCGAACGATTCATTCACGAACCAGACATCACTATTGAGCAGCAAATCAGCATATTAGAATGATTTCTGAAGGATCATGTGACACTGAAGACTGGAGTAATTCACATAGAAAACAGCTATTTTAAATTGTAATAATATTTTTCGAAATAATATATTTTAACCCGTACCAATCACAAACTTTTGAATTTTGTGTATATTATATACATTTAATGAATTAGGAACATTTAAGTCATGGGAATGTTTCATTCACTCTCATGCACACACACACACACACACACACACACACACGCAGGTTCTCCGTTGAGTTCAACCTGTTAAGACTGGTTTGTGTCCGTTTTTGGTTTGTGTAGTTAATGGGTGTGTGTCCATAGACGAGCTGATCTCACCATCAGATGATTCAAGTTTACTGTACATAAGAAAGTAGCAGAACAATCATCACTGTGCGTTTGACTTTGATGTGTTTTTACCAAATACAAAAATATAAAGAGCCATATCAGTGCAAAAGTGAAATATAATATCTCTGTCTTTCTCTCTCTCTCTGTGTTTTCCTCTGTAGGAGAGAAGCTGGATTATAAATCATGTGAATCTCTGGAGGAGATCTTTAAGAGGGTGCAGTTTAAAGTGCTGGATCTGGAACAGACAAACTTAGACGAGGATGTGAGTGCCGCTCTTTTTTACCTCATTTGTCTCATTTCCTGACCAGCTTTATGACCGCAGGGTCATTCTTGTTCTTTCTCTTTCCATCTTTAAGACTGCCTGAGCTTCTGTTATGACGAGTGCAGCACTCTGATTTCATTTATCAGTGCCGTTACTCAATGAAAATACTCATCTGTTTAGTGTGTTTGGTTGAGGCATGTGTCTCTGTGTGCAGACTACATGTGTGCTGTTCTGATACGGTTTGTGTTTGTCCAACATAAACACAGATATCAGGAGACATTAATTCAGTCCGGTTACTTAAGGTCGCTCCTGGCCTTTGCTAGCTGTGCTTGATTTAACGCTATAATCTTGCCATAAGTCATAAGTTGGGTGGATCTCAGCATCTTCCATATAAACAAACACACAACTTAAGGGAGTGTCATGGAAAACTGGATTTTTTTCTCTCTTTTGAAATAAATAAAAGATGTACACATATTCTAACCATCATTATTTATGTATATATTTATTGTTTCATTTATTTATATTTGTTTACATTTATTTTAATGTGATGGATTTATTGATTTATTTATTTTTAAATAAAAGATGTACTATGCATTGCACACATTCTAACCATCATTTATGTATATATTTGTTTAGTTTATTTATATTTATTTCAATTTATTTTAATGTAATTCATTTTATTTTTAATTATTTTTATTTTTTTAATAAAAGATGTACACATTCTAACCATCACTAGGCCTATTTGTTATTTATGTTATGTTATTATATTTATTTTTGTTTATTTATTTCATTTATTTATATTTATTTTAATGTATGTTTAAATTTATTGTATTTTAATTTCTACTTATTTTATTTTTATTTATTTTATTTTATTTTTATTGCACATAACTACTGTGCTGGGATCAGTTTCTCCTACCTAAATCCAACTACTCCTTTAAGTGTTATTGGTTGTTTGTTTGGCCACGGCAGGTTTTTGTCCCCCAGCCGCAGTGCTGTAATCGGCATGTTCGTTGTTTTTCTGTGTCTATAAGTATTTGTTGCACTCCTGCTGCTTCTAATCTTCTTTACCTTTAAACCCTCTTTATGAACTGCTTTGTACTTGTTCTTGTTTTTGGCTCCTCCAGAAACATCGAGCCTGTCCCTCCTCCTCTGTGAGAGCTCTTGTATGCAGTCATTGTGTTTATAGTGTGTGTGTGTGTGTGACCCTGGACCACCAATCATAAGGGTCAATTTTAGGGCAGTCAGTTTAAGGAGTTAATTTAATTAATTAGTTATGGAAAAATAACATAATTGCAGTATTTTAACACAGTTAAGGCACCCGTCCCGCCCCAGACCTGTACGTCATCTTATATTTCATACGGTTAACTGTTGACAAACATGATGCAGGGCAGCAACCAAGTAGTCCATAAATGCCGTTATGTGCCCCTAAAAATCAAGATGTTGAGCCAAAAAATGCAGCTGTATGAATTTTGTCATGTTTTGAAATGAAATTACTTTTGTGGGTAATTTCTAAGCCAAATGTGATGTGCAATTAATTAGATTAATTAATCACCACATTGTGTAATTAATTAGATTTAAAAATGTTTAATCGATTAACAGCTCGAATATATATATATGCCTATACATACACACATTCATGTTGCTGATAGTTGTTCATTTATAATTGATTATTGTTTGGAAAAAAAATTTAACGTGAACGGTTATGATGTGTGGAGAATTTTTCATGTAAAATATTTAATATTTCAGTAGATTTTTGTTTCCACAAGCTCTATCAAGTTATCTAAAATAGCTGTGTGATGTTTGTCACTTGTCTGTCATTTTATCTGTTTTTTTATGATGCAGGTTGGAGCTCAACACCGTACGCTGCTCCTCAGCAGAGCTCTGACCAATCAAACACCGCTGCGTTTCACTTCTGTCCTCATTCAGAGCGTGAATGTGGGTCTGTCACAAGCGCAATCCCCGCGCAGAATAGTGCAAAATGTTTAGCATTATTTAAGAAATATGAGAAATCATTTTTATTTTAGTACTGATTAAACTATTTGACACTTAGTTCTTAAAGGGGTAGTTCACCCAAAAAATGATATATTTATTTAATATATTTATCTCTAGAATGTTTTGTCTCAGCTTGTCTGAGATCACCGTGTGACTCATGCTGCTTAAAGCATAGTGTAAATCTCTAGTGTAAAGATGCTGGAAACAAAACCTTGTTTTCTCTTGAGACACACATACAGTATATACATAGACATGTGCACATGTATAGACACGCACACTAATTCTCAGCACTTACAGCATCATATGAGACAGTCTGGAGCTTCGTCCAGGATGAAACTAAAAACCCACAACTAATCATTCTCTCACATTTATTTGAATATTACCATATAGACATGTTACCTTGAAAGAAAAATTAATTTAATTTATTATATTTTTATCATAATTAATTAATTTCTAAAATATATATTTTACATATGTACCATGATTATATCATATTTTTAAAGTTTTATATGTATAATTCCCCCCATCAGTCTGTGAACAGGTGCAGCAGGCTGTTGTCATGGTAACGCAGGTTGTCTGCATGTGTTTGTGTTGTGCATCTCTGTCGTAACCTCCAGAATAAGCACAAAACAGACTGCTATTAATTCAGAAATGCTGTACAGAATAAAGAGCGTGTTTCTTTCTGTCTCTCAGGGAGCATCAGCTTTGTTCGATATGATAGAGTACTATGAATCCGCCACTCATCTCAACATCTCCAGCAACAAGCACATCGGCACACGCGGCTGGCAGGCCGCCGCGCACATGATGAGGAAGGTGAGGCTTGAGTTACGCTCAGTTCACACTGTTATGAAGAGTTGATCTCCTCATCTTGTCTGTGTGCCTCCAGACGAGCTCTCTGCAGTATCTGGACGCCCGTAACTCGCCGCTGCTGGATCATTCAGCCCCGTTCGTGGCCAGGGCTCTGCGGATCAGCGGCAGTCTCACTGTCCTGCACCTGGAGAACGCCGGCATCTCAGGACGACCGCTGATGCTGTTGGGTAATGAAAGAAAGAAAAAAAACACTCTGGACATTAATCCTATGAAACCTGCTGTGTCATATTTAATGCACAAAACTTTAAAGTGCACCTATTGTGGGTTATGAAAGGTTCATATTTTGGTTTTGGGAGTCCCCAACAACAGGTTGACATGCATGCAAGGTCAAAAAACACTTTCATTGTCTTATAATATGCATTTATTTTTTTACCTTACTTGCTCAATGACTCCCAAATGATTCGTTTAACGATTCATTTTTCCAAACGCTAATCGGCGGTGATTGGTCCGATCGGTCTCATTGTTTTTTCATCTTGCCTGTAATGCCTGATAAAGCAGTTTGTGAGCGCAGTGCTGCTTTGTGACCAGCGTTACCGTGGAAATAGTACAGCTATTTTAACGCTCCAAAAGCGGCACCTTGTGGCAAAGAATGAATTAGCATTTTCATTCATTCAACTTGAAAAGACCAACAAGTGGGCTGGCAATATGCTAATGTTTAGTGTTGACCTCAACATGAAACGTCTTGGGATTCGTTTTAAAAACGACAAATTTCAATGATTCAGAGTCGACTCTTTCTTTTGAGAGACAGATTCGTTTAACGATTCATTTTTCCAAACGCTAATCGGCGGTGATTGGTCCGATCGGTCTCATTGTTTTTTCATCTTGCCTGTAATGCCTGATAAAGCAGTTTGTGAGCGCAGTGCTGCTTTGTGACCAGCGTTACCGTGGAAATAGTACAGCTATTTTAACGCTCCAAAAGCGGCACCTTGTGGCAAAGAATGAATTAGCATTTTCATTCATTCAACTTGAAAAGACCAACAAGTGGGCGGGCGATATGCTAATGTTTAGTGTTGACCTCAACATGAAACGTCTTGGGATTCGTTTTAAAAACGACAAGTTTCAATGATTCAGAGTCGACTCTTTCTTTTGAGAGACAATAACTTTATACACGGTGCACTTTCAGATTTAAAACTTGGCAGGATGTTTTCATTCACTTAGAGCTGTGCTGCATGAAAGGTAATTTTCAAAAATCCATAATAGGGGCACTTTAAATGATCAACATTATCAATTTTGCTGATAAACGTGTTTATCTACTCCATGCCTGATTGACATTTTATAGTTTTTAGCAAGTAAAAGGAATTTTAATATAATTGTACAAACGTCCACCTTTAGCTTGTTTATGCTGTGATTGTTTTTGCTTTAAACGCAATAATAACTTAATTCAAATTCATAATGACACTTACTAGACTGAAGCAAATTTGGGTAACACTTTACTATAAGGGTACATTAATAATCATGTACTAATACCTAAATGAATGCTTAATTCGTCATGTACTAATGATTAACTAATCATGAACTAATGAAAAGCAGCCCTAATAGTCATATGGATTCACGCATGAATAACGGCAGCCTTGTTAGTACATGTTTAATAGTTAATGCATTAATTAACATGTATAGGTAAACTAACTCAAACAGCCTCTTTGAGAAGGAATAAGAAGTACTCTGACTTTGAAATAAATTGAAATGGTTACTCTTTATTTTAAGGTGTCCTTGTTACAGTGTAATACATTTAAGTACTAACTACATGTACTTTCTATATGGTTAGGGTTACTTGAATGTAATTATACATTATTTATTGTTATCGTAATAGTAAGTGCATGTAACACGTGTAACAAGGACACCTTAAAATAAAGTCTTACCATCTAAACAATTTAATTCTATCATAATTTGAGCTTTTGACATCTGCAGCTTTGTTGGGTGGCAAATGATTAGTTTATCCTCCTCACCAAGCGTAGACAATGCTAAATACACTAATAACTGATCTTTTCTGTTTTGTGTTGTTCTCTTTCCCTGCTGCAACTTATACGCAACTAAAGACAAAAAAATAAACACTCCAAACCCACATTTGTAGAACGATTCCTAAAGAAATGACTAGAAACTAGAAACATACTGCAGGTAAGGTCAGAACGTTTGCTGGGTATCGGTACAGTTCACTCTCCATCCAGACACAGGCCATGATGATACTGTACCTCCGCTCTCTGACTTCTCGAAAAGCCTCACGACATCCCTTAATTGGGCTCAATACTCGTTGGGTTAGTACATGTGTGTTTGATATTAAGCATAAAATAAATGCTGAGCTGAATTTATTAAGCAGTTAAGAGTGAATTAATTATGAATGGGGGCCCCTCAAGTAAAGTCATGGCAAAATAATGCATTAACAAGCCACAAGTTGATGTCAGTGTTGTTAATTACGATGGGCCCCTCAAAGTAAAGTTATCCATTTTCTCAAAATGAAATGTGAATGCAGCAATTAAAAGGCAGTTTGTTTCATACATGTGTTCAGCCACAGCACTAAAGATGAACATGAACCTCAGAGAGCTGTATTTGGCCGAAAACAAGCTGAGCGGTCTGCAGGACTCGGCCCAGTTGGGGAATCTGCTGAAGTTCAACTACAACATCCAGATTCTGGACCTGAGAAACAATCACATACTGGACTCAGGTGTGACCTCTTGCTCCGTATCGTCCTGTTGTTGGTCTCCTACTTCAGTAGTGTTTGGACTCGTCGTTCAACCCGCTGTATTTGCTTTTGCTTGTTTCCTCAGGGTTGGCGTATATATGTGAGGGTCTGAAGGAGCAGAGGAAGGGTTTGGTCACTCTGGTGCTCTGGAACAACCAGCTCACGCACAATGGCATGGGATACCTGGCTGCCGCTTTGGTAAACACACACACACACACGTGTCACAAAAGTTTCCATGAGCAAATCCACATCTTTAGGGCTTATTCAAACCAAGAGCAACGGATGTAGTCCCAGAACTATTCACACCAACTATTTGACGCAAATTCGTTTGTAACAAGTGTGTAAACCTGAAAGAAATAGGGGTTACACTTCATTTTAAGGTGTTGCTGTTACAGTGTAATTATGCGATGAAATACTAAGTAGGGGTGGGGGAAAAAATCGATACAGCATAGTATCGCGATATTTCCCGCGGCAATACTGTATCGATACACGGACGCCAAGTATCGATCTTTTATTATACTATTTGGTAGAATAATAAAATCAATTTCTTTACAATCCACTAGATGGTGGTGTTGAGTTTTTTTTTCGGGTGAGGTCAGCTGGGTCACCTTCAGCATGCAGTAAGTTAGTAAAATAAAGAGGGCGGCATCGCGGAAAGTTATCAGGAAAGACCCGTCCGCGTTTAAATCGGATGTATGGACTTACTTCGGATTTGTAAACAAGGAGGGGATGCAAGTAGGGATGCACCGAAAATATAGGCTACATATAATAATAATAATAATAATAATAGTGTTCAGCGCGCATGTTTCACTCTCCTTGTCACTGCGCAGTTTGACGCTCCGCTCAATGTTCCGATCTATGAATGTGCAAAAAGCAAAGTCCGCTCAAATAACGCGCTGACAGAAAAAAGCAAAGTCCGCTCAAATAACGCGCTGACAGAAAATTTCTATGCAGTATACTTGATCCGGTTTGCAGTAGCGCTACTGTGTGTAAAATAAAGAGGGCGGCATCCAGAAAGTTATCAGGAAAGCCCCGTCCCGGAAGTATGGACTTACTTTGGATTTGTAAACAAGGAGGGGATGCAAGTAGGGATGCACCGAAAATATAGGCTACATATAATAATAATAATAATAATAGTGTTCAGCGCGCATGTTTCACTCTCCTTGCCACTGCGCGGTTTGACGCTCCGCTCAATGTTCCGATCTATGAATGTGCTGATTTTAATAATGCATTAGTAAATGTTGAAATTAACATGAACTAAGATTAGTAAATGCTGAAGAACTATTGTTCATTCTTAGTTCATTAACTAAAGTAGTTAACTAATGAACCGTATTGTAAAGTGTTAACAGTATTAATATAAATTCTGTCCAGTTTTATTGTGCTACTTTCAGTAAAAGTGTGGTTATTTTATTGGATTGTGTTTTTTTTTATTCAGTATCATTAAAATTGAGTTAAATTTAAAAAGTCTCACAAAATTAATAAAATAAAATATAAACATTACAAAGCATTTTTTGTTTCGTTCAAAATACCTGTAGTAGCACAGCAGTGCATACCTGTTTACATTTAATTAAGGTGGACTAGATTAGACTGTAATACAAATAGTTGAGTTTGCCAGGTGCATACAACATTTATGACAGGTTTTCATGAAAGTGTTGGTCAGTTTGTCTGCTTGACAATCCCATTTTGCACTGCAACAATAAAACTGAAGTGAGATAAACTAAGAAATGTTTCCTTTTTAGTTAAAACAGATGTTGTCAAAGTTTTCCTTTGGGGACATAATTTGAAGTTGGTAAAAGGTAATAAATTGCAATATATCGCAATATATTTAAAATCGCAATAATATTGTATCGTGACACAAGTACCGTGATAATATCGTACAGTGAGGCCTCTGGTGATTCCCACCCCTAGTACTAAGTAATATTAATTAATGACATTAGGGTTTGTTTTAGGGTTAGTTGCACGCAATTATGCATAATTTACTTTTGTTACTAAAATAATTATGCAACAAGGAAGCTACATAGCATAAATATAATATATGCCTAAATGCTTGAAAATAAACTGATAATTTACTAAGACAAAAATTGTAGTAATGTTGTATTAAAGTAATGTTGTCATTTTAATGAGAATTAACTAAAAAAAAATATATAGGTCATAATAGGGCTGTATCTAACAATTATTTTTTAATAAAAGACTAATCTGATGATTATTTGGACGATTCAACTATTCTGGTTATTTTTCCAAATTGTCCATTCACAAGCCATTTTTGAAAGAAAATTATTGTTGACTTTTTTTTTTTATATATATATTTTATATATATTTTTACTGTTGTATTTGTACTGTTGTATATAGTGCTGCAAGTTAGATACACCTACTATATCAGCATCTCTGCCTCTATCATAAATGTTTTTTGGTGAACAGAATACAAAAATCAACCAACAGGACAGAAGAAAATGTAACGTTTGGTCTAGGGCTGCACGATAAATCGCATGCGATATTTAACGCGCCCGTTGTTCACTGACGAGCTGCGCAAAAAATCGCGCGAATATGAACGTGGTTTTGCGCAACTCGTCAGTGAACAACGGCTCTGTGTAGTTAATGCTGCTCAATGTGAAAGCCCGTAGGTGATGGAGATTTACCACTGATTACAGAACCGGCTTTCTGACAAGATGTGCATTAAATATCGCATGCGATTTATCGTGCAGCCCTAGTTTGGTCCATATTAAGAATTATTTTGACTTGAAATCTTTTTATTGTGAATATTCACACTTGAATAGAAAACTTTCTGTGACATTATAAATGTATTTACTGTGACATTTGATTAATTTAATGTGTCCTTGCTGAAAAAAAAAAAAAAAACTCTTACTTGGCAAACTTTTTAATGGTAGTGTATCACTGTTTCCACAAAAAATATAAAGCAGCACAACTGATGATAATCAGAAATGTTTCTTGAGCAGCAAATCAGCATATTAGAATGATTTCTGAAGATCATGTGACACTGAAAACTGGAGTAATGATGCTGAAAATACAGCTGTGCATCACAGGAATAAATTACATTTTAACAGATATTCACATAGAAAACATTTACTACAAATTATAATATTTTACGGTTTTATTGTATTTTTGATCAAGCAAAAGACCGTTTGTAGTGAACGGTGGTGTACATACAACAAAACAGTAGCCTCTTATGCCTCCTTGTGTAATGGCCCAAAATACAGAGCATGAGCGCATGAGATTAAGATGAGAGCTCGGCCCCATTCAGTCAGATGGTCATTATGGAGATTGAGAGGATGCTGTGTGTGTCTGCCAGCTGCTGACAGTGCAATGCTCGTGTTTATGTGTGTCCTGCCGCCTTTTTGTTAATTAAGGACAAAACGCACACACACACACATTCTCACAGTCTTGTGTGTAATGCACTGCAGTCTGTGCTGGTCTTCAAAACAGGTTCTGTGGTTTTAAAGCATCGTCTGCGCTTGTATTCACACCCCTCACAGAAAAAGACGGTCAGATCCCTTTGCAGAATAATCATAAACACACTGCCTGTCTTTGATGGAGTTAATGCACTTTCAGTTTCTTCTTCTCTTTTGCTCTCTGTTGCTGTAGCCGTTCACTCAGAGCTTGGAAACACTGAACCTGGGCCATAACGCAGTGGGGAACGAAGGAGTGCACAAACTAAAAGACGGACTCATAGCAAACCGGTCCATCCTCAGGCTGGGTCTGGCCTCCACCAAACTCTCCTGTGAAGGTGAGATCTGGAATGAAGCGTGAAGTTACTGTACATATAAACATAATGAATTTGATGTTGAATTTTGGGCTCAGCTTATGTGAAGCTCATATTATCGGTGTGTTTGTTCGAATGATAGGAGCGGTCGCTATCGCAGAATTCATCGCTGAGAGTCCGAGGATCCTCCGGCTGGACATGCGGGAGAATGAAATCAAGACCGGAGGCCTCATGGCTCTCTCGCTCGCCTTTAAAGTCAACTCATCGCTGCTCCGACTCGACCTGGACCGAGAGCCCAAAAAAGAGACGGTGAGTGTTTGTTAAATGGGAAGGGGAAAATATTTAACTTAATATAAGTAGAACTGCCTGTATTTAAAGCTAAAACAGTGTTAGATGTAGTAAGTTCTGTTCATTTATTTGAGTTCTCTGAGACCGATTTAAAACTATATTGCATTCTTTATATATTTAAATGTGTTTGAGATATACGGTTAAATATTGCTGTTTGTTACAGTATAATGTTATATCAGTGCAAATATATTCAAATTAAATGTTCTATATTAATATATTACTAAATTCAAGTGGGAAAAAAACTGGAAGTTATATATACACTACCGTTCAAAAGTTTGGGGTCAGTAAGATTTTTTTTTGTTTTGTTTTTTATAATCATGAAAAATAAGGTGTATCACAGTTTCCACAAAAATATGAAGCAGCACAACTGTTTTCAACATTGATAATAATCAGAAATATTTATTGAGCAGCAAAACAGCATATTAGAATAATTTCTGAAGATCATGTGACACTGAAGACTGGAGTAATGATGCTGAAAATTTGATCACAGAAATAAATTACATTTTACTATATATTCACATAGAAAAATGTTATTTTAAATTGTAATACTATTTAACAATATTATTGTTTTTACTGTATATTGGATCAAATAAATGCAGTCTATCTTTTTCACTAACTACACTTAATTATATACCACAGATGCATCTATGACCTTTTTATTGCATTACTATACCACATCTTTTTTCTATCGCTGCTCTCACAGGTGAAGTGTTTCATTGAGACACAGCGCTCACTGCTGTCAGACATTCAGAACGGCTGCAAGAGGAACTTCATCCTGGCCAAAGAGAAGGAAGAGACGGAACAGAAGATGAGGCAGTCGATTTCAATAGCCGAAATCGCCACGGAGGACCAAACTCAAGAGGATGAAGATGCATCTGCTGAGAAAAGTGAGGAAGAAAACACCACCGATGAGGGCAGTGCATCTGAGAGCCAAGAGGTCGACGATCAAAACCCGACACTACAAGACGATTCGGACTCGGACACAGAGGATGAGGACGCAGCCGAGGAGCCGAAAACTCCTGCGAACACCACATCTCCCATAGCGATTCCTGCAATAAACGCCTGTAAGGCCGTGCCCTCGATGCCTCCTCTACCAGGATCACCAGGGGGAATTACAGTGACCGAAGCTAGCGCTGTCCCCAGAGCCCCACCATCTCCTGGCCGCTGCTTTTCGGTGTCTAGTCCTGGCAGAGGACGCAAAATCTTTATGGTAACACGTGTGGAAAGCCCTCCGGAGCAACAACAGACGACTGTATTGGCGAAAGGCGTCAGCGAGTGGGCGGCACAGAGCCAAGCATGCACACAGACTAATCTAAAAGCACCTTTTGATGCACGTTCACAACCGCCTGAGCAACCAACAGCATCTGAGCTCAGCACGTTAACATCACGTGCAGAAACAACACCAGCACCTGTTGAACCGCTCAACACGTCCATGTCTTCACTTGCGGATAAGCAGGAGAACCTGAAGGAGTCGCAGTCAGAAATTGCACAGGATCCTGCTACGCCATTTGAAAGCCTGAAGGACGCTGTCTTTGTCGATCAGACTCACTTAAAGCAACAGTTGACTGTAAATACAAACACACAAAAAACGCAAGAGATGCAAAATGTAAGCGAGAAGGACCAGACGTTCTGTCCTCACACCAAGCAGAAACAGGACTCCAGTCCCATCCAAACAGAGTCATCAGTTTCAGGACAATCCCAGGATGAGACGCTAAGCCCAAAAGCCGAACCATGTCCAGAACAGCTGCAGGAAGTTGGTAACGGAGAGAAACAAGTGCAATCTAGTGAGCAGCAACGGGCCGCTCAGCTGCAGCCTTCACTGGAGGTCACAGCAGGTCACAAAGCCCTCGATGAGGAGGAAGGCTGCAGTGCTCGAGCGGGATCTCCTGACGTGAGCTCCACGGAAGAAGACAAAGGTCATCCTGCTGGGAGCACAGGAGCATCGCTGCCCAACGGGCTGAAGCCAGAATTTGCCTTTCACCTGCTCGAACCCAAGGGACCCAAACCAGCCAGCTGCATTATGGAGCATGGTGAGTTACGCTGGATTACCTCATATTCCACTGCATCATTCCACAATATTGGAGCACATTTATTTGGATTCATTTACATTGTTCCTAAAAACCTGTTCACACCAATTCTGATGCGACTAGATGACATAATAAAATATTCCCATTAGGGCTGTCATGATTCCTTGATTAAATATGAGCACTCGATTATAAATAATCCTCGATTGCATTTTGCATGTGTCGATTAACCGGCAAAATACTGGAAGTGGCGCATTCCATGGACGAGAGTCATGGATTAGCACATCCATGCATTATTAGCATGACAGAAATCATAATAAAGCATAGTGCTATTGTGAATTTACAAAGGCTGCGATTCAATTAAATAGGCTAAATATATGCGCTGCGGGTTTAAAATGCGCTTTATTTCTATGCGTGCAGGTTACGTGCATCTCAGATCGGCTCCGTTCACAGTAAATGCTGCTCCACACAACCATTTATTTCTGCATATGCTGTGATATGTTCATATGTTCATCTTGGAACAATGTGCACCATTCTATCAGAGTTATAAGGTAAATCATTTATAAACCTACGCCAGCACAGGATAATACACTGTTATCTTTCTAAATATGCAAACTGTTCATTGCGACTTCAAAATAAAAGATTAAACCCTCGCTCTGAGTTTGATGTCCTGCATGCTTTGATGTCCACACATTCTTGTTCAAGAAATGACAGCGGCTGTAGTATTTCTATCATAAAGAAGTGGCCAAATATTAAAGATTGTGGACATTTGAATTAAAAGTTTAGTCAATATTAAACAAGGATTAGATTGCACTGTAAAGTGTAAAATCAGGCTGTTGGCGCCTCTGCAGGCATTTGATATAGTACATAATGTACATAAGTTATGATTAGATCGTTTTATTTCACTATGTATTTTAGGGCTGGGCGATATAGCTAAAAAAATTATCAATGATATAATGTTTCATATCGTTCGGTATTGATAATTATTGACATTTTTTATAACCTTTTTTAAAACAAAAAGCAATAGAATTTTTTTTTTTTTAATTTAACCACTGTATTTATAATTAACACAATTTATTTTCAAATATTTTTTGTTTTAACAATTAAACAATAAAAATTAAACAAATATCTAATTTCTAATGTTTCATATGCAGATTAAATAGGTCTTTATTGTATAGGTCTAATTGTCTCCCGAGGCCAAAAGAGGGCGCAACGAGCACAATAATGCAGCGCATTTAAATTGTCAACGCAAGGAAGTAACTCTATAAAAACGTGCATTACGTCTAAATGAACTCATAAAAATCAAATATAATTTCATAAATTGCATAAACAATTATGAACAAAACAGCATCATGTATTTAGGCATTGCTTAATCCAAAGAGCCGAAGCGCCGATCACACAGACTGCATTTAAAAACATGAGACGCAGTGAAACGTGTTTTCTAAAAGTTTAAACTGTTTTAACTTTGCATGACTTTCCATATATCTCTTGTGTAAGACGTGAGTGCAGCAGTCATATTTGTCAGTTTAAAAAATGCTCTGAATATGCGTTCTGTGTGAATGGCTTGGTTTCGGTTT